TAACTTATAAAAAGGTGATAAAATCATGTTCGTATCTGTAAGATCCTAAAATGGCTCCCACTCGTCAGGACAAGTCACGGCATGCAGGTCCTATAACCAAACCTCCTCATACCTTGGAACAGTTCTTCCCCCACCAGGTCTCCATGCATACAACCACTAATAATGTTCATTCGATGTCCCACGTGCTCCTCAATGAAGAACAAGCCCATGTTTTACAGCTTTGCATAGGTGGCGGTAATGTATTCTTCACGGGGGCAGCAGGTACCTTCATGTTACATGTCTTAATATTGACAAATATATGACACTTCTATTAGGCATGGGAAAGTCTCTCCTTCTAGGTGCTGTTATTAGAGGTCTACGTCGCAAGTATTCCAAAGAACCTGGAGCCGTGGTGGTTACTGCTAGTACAGGTATGGCAGCATCGAACATAGGTGGTGCATGGTGGTTTTTCGTCGACCCTCCATGGCTTGTTGGTTTATCTAAATCCAATCCAGGCATCACGTTGCATGCCTGGGGAGCCATCTCTCCTTCAATGCGCGACCTTGACACAGCCCTCAAGCACATACGCCACAGTCAGACTGCTTTGCAACATTGGCGTCTAGCACATGTTCTTGTCATTGATGAAGGTGCATACTGTTCTTTCATACTCCAACTCTCTTTATTTATGCGCTTATCCTCACAGTATCTATGGTCAGCTCAGAGCTCTTTGAGCTGGCTAGTGACATTGCTCAAAAGCTTTGCTGATCTTCCAAACCCTTTGGAGGCCTGCAGGTTTGTCACATATAGGTCAAACAGTATTCCTCTAATGCTCAACTCATATTATTTTGCAGGTTGTCATAACGGGAGACTTTTTTCAGCTTCCTCCAGTAACCCCACGAGGAGACACTCCCAACTTTGCCTTTGAATCTTTTGCATGGCGCCACACCATTCATCATTCTATCAATCTTCGGCAAGTGTTCAGGCAAAAAGATCCTGGTTCGTGCAATTTTGAATTCAGTATACTTGGTCTAATGTTCTCGTAACAGCATTTATACAAGCCCTCGAATCCCTGAGAGTAGGGACTCCTACTGCTGAAGCCCTGCAGCTCTTCACATCACTCTCCAGGCCCCTCCCTCCTCTGGAAATAGGCCTCTCAGACCCCTCCATGCCAAGCATCCAAGGTCGCGCTACCATTATACCCACTGAGTTGTTTCAGCTCCAAAAGGACATAAGCAAGGCTAATCTGCAGCGCCTCAATGACCTGCATTCACAGGAATACCGTTACATCGCGACGGACTCAGGACCCAGTCGCGAGCTTCTGGAGGGTGGTGTTCTTGCTGAACCACGTTTGCTGTTGAAGTTTGGAGCTCAGGTCATGCTCATCAAAAACGTAGATGATGTGCTGGTCAATGGGCTTGTTGGTACCATTATCGGATTGTATCGACCTTGGCAAGTATCTTCAGAGGTCGAATCTAATGACTCCACATCGAGCAAGCCAGGAACGTACCTACGAAATGTCCGTTTACATGCAGGACACGCCATTCTCATTGAGACCCCACCCGAAAAGATGTGTTATGAGGATGCACGTTATCCTCTGGTTTTATTTCATTACACAGTCAAAGGTGCCAAGTCCGATGACCAAAGCCGGACAGAAGCTGTTCTGATCAAGTGTGACGAATTCTGAATCGATGACCAGGAAGGGAAGTTATTGGCTAGGCGGGTTCAAATGTCAGTGTACATTGTTTGGTATAGGCTTACGACCATGGCTGACTACCCTTCCTAACAGACCTCTCATTCTAGCGTGGGCAATGTCTATTCACAAGAGCCAGGGCCAAACGATCCATCAAATTAAAGTGGATCTGCGAAAAGTCTTTGAGAAAGGTCAGGTTTTATTGACAAGTTTCATCACTTCACCTCTTGTGATGTTCATGTTTGTTTTCTCTAGGACAAACATATGTAGCTTTATCACGAGCATCATCACTGGAGGGCCTTCAAGTGGTCAGGTTTGATTCAAAAAAGGTGAGTCGCTGATGAGCCTAAACTTCCATGGCAACGGCAAAAACCAAAACTCTAGAGGAGTTCACGGCAAATGGCGCGTAGCGGCAATAAAGGCTTTGTTGTTGTGCGAGTGTTTCGGTGCACCTCCGTGCGATGAATTCCTCAAGAACGCAAGTATACACTGCGACTTTTCAGTCAGCGAAGTAGTACCCTTAACGATCGAGTACTAGAAAACGTTGGCTGTAAGCCGGGAAGGGTCTCGATAGTCGAGAAGGAACAGAATCCGGTATAACTGGGAATACCAGCAAACCGTGAACGAAGTGACGGCAATTTAACTAGTAAAAGCCGTGGGCGATGTTGACGGAATTAGAGAAAATGCCGTCAAAGAGAAATACCGTTGGCAAGATAACAAATACCGTGACGGCAATAAACGAAGACTGTAGTCAAGAAACGAGAAACTGGCAGTGAAACGAAGATAAGATGAGCTGGCGATGATATGAGGGGGAACTAGTGACGGCAAAACGATGGCTGGGACTGGGCTGGACTGAAACTGAAACTATACTGAGGTTAATGATGGCAAAACGAAACTGATACTAATCCTGAGTCTACACGGAGACTATCCTATACTGAAACTGACGGCAAGATACCAAATACCGTGACTGATGATCCTATACTGAAGCTGTTGACCGAAATTCCGTGACAGATGCTGCTGGCGGCAATAATGATCCTAATCTGAGTCCACATGGGGACGTAACGATCCTGAACTGAACTGGGTAAAACGATGGCGACGTAGAAGGTGAAAACTGATGAAAATGATCCTGGCTGGTGAAAGTGAAATGATGCTGGCGGATTAAAAGATAAAAGTGAGTTGTGGACACCGAATTCCGTGTATTGGCACAATATGAGCATACACCAATACCGTTAGAAGAAAAGCCATGACAGAGAGTATAACTTGGAGTGACTGTGTTGTTATTGTCTATCTCCTAGCGAGTACAAGCGATAATGGTGGTCGATAACATGGATGATGGCTAGTGTCCAGTAACTTCTGTCCAGCAACTTCTTATTTTCTGTGATGTATACTAGCTTTTATACTACGAGTCCAGAATAAATTTAGAATACTTGAAGCGAGTCCTTAGTAAGTCTGTAGTACATAGATTAGTAAGAAATGATACAAAACGCGTGCTCCCAGAGTTCTAAAGTAACAGCACCCACACAGTTTTACGGTGTACTGTGGTTCGAAAGTAACAGCACCCATATGGCTTTTCCACATATAGATGAAGTGATTAGCAAGAATGCCACCGATCTCCGGAATTTTGAGCTGCTGTGTTGCTGCGGCAAAGTACATTGAAGCAAGTGTACTGAAGTAGATGCTTGTGGCAATATCTTGGCAGTATAACAGCCTTAGTAAAGACTGAGGAAAGGTCATGGCATTAGAGCTAATGCCACGGAATTGCTATTTGAGCTGCGGAATTGTGGCTGTGCTGCGGAATTGCGGCTGTGCTAGGCAATCAGATGGGATTCTAAATCCGTGAGATCGACAATCAGGTGCCTGGCAGAATTAATGAAAGAGGCACGTAATTGATGTGGGGTGCAAGTGGGGAAGGATAAGTGGCGGCATTAAGCAATATTGCCGGGATTGAAATAGTAGGTTTGTGTGGTGGCTGGGAAATTAAATATCTGGTAAAATCTGCGAATTCTGAGCGTACAGAGCCTGGAGGCTCATCATCGCTGCTTCCACTGGGATACCCAATAAGACGTCTCATTAAGTTCTCCTCCAGGTGCAGGTACATCTCAAGGTTATTGAATGGTCCAAGGGTCTAGCAGAGATACCGAACCACAGGACAGATTAGCGTAGTGGATATTCTGTCTCCAAAGCAGTACCCAATACACAGTGGCCACTATCTTCTAAACGGCATGAATTGCATGAAATCAGTAAATGCCGAGCACATTAAGCATTAAGCGTGATGTGACTTTTTTTTGCCATTGACCCTTTACCTCTGCCAGCATGAGTACACTACCACTGGTGAGTATGCCATCCACAGGACCCTTTCACTATACTCAGTCCACTTCACTCCCAGTGTCTTACCGCTTGTGAACTTACCAACCTTTTCCGGTTTGCTCCTGACTACATGGAGGCTTGAATCCGTGACATCTTTGAGCCTGGGTATATGAGAATGTGGTTCAATCAGTTTGCGTCATACTGGATTTTTTGGGTGCATGGCAACACAAGTGAGGGGTTCATCAGTCCCAGGGAGCGCAGGGCTGTCTTTGCCTGAAAATGACAGGTCCGTGAGATCCTTGTTCTCGTCTGTTGTTTGGAATGACCTGATTGCTACACCAGCTTCTGCTTGCAGCATTGGAGTGGGCTTCAACACTGCCCTTGTATTCGATTTATGGCCCTTTGCTCATACTCACCATCGTCCAATATCCATTTGGATACATCAATAGTGATGCATATGCGTATACCCTATCATCTTGGATGCCTTGGGTACCCCCACCGTCGCCATCAGGCGACACTGTGTCCTTCACTTGACCGCTTCGTTTGCCCACCCTCAGTAGCGAACTCCCATACTCATACTCGTACCTATCCTACCTTTCCTTGGTGTTCAATACCCTTAAACAACAATACTTTTGATGATTTTTTGGGTCACGCTTTTTTGATATATCTTGTAGCTTTGTGTCCACTTTTTTTTGTTATATCTTGTAGCTTATACCCATCCATCCCTGGGCAATGTTATTCTTGCTGTATCTTGTATCTCCAATCTTGTATCACAATTTTTTAAGTGTCCCAATCAGCTTGCCAAAGTACATGTGAGAGCATTGTTCAATACTAAGTCGCATCCTGGCAATGTAGCAAAATATCTATATGAAGCCCGCAGGATAGGTAAACATTGAAAGTTGCATTCATGGACGGGCTACATAATACACATTACAGAATCTCTTGTGTTCACCGCAACGTCTCGAATCATACCACTTATGACATTGTGCGCATTCTGCCAAAAATAGCTGCAACTCAGCAGCAGTCAAGCCCGCTCCCGACGCGAAGGTTTTACCAATCCCATCCAGCAGAGGAATGTTGTAATTGCGATGCTGGCACCAGCCATGTGGATCACACAATGTTGCCTGGCCAGTGACATATGAGTAATGAGTTCGAAGGAACGGATTGAAAGTTTGAGATGGATAAGCGAGTGCAGGCTGATAGACATGATACGGAATGGAGGACGGTATTGAGATGGTCGAGGTGGGGCATGGGGAAGGTCTCTGGGCCTGGTACAGCGGTTGGCGATGAGTTCTTGTTTGGGGATACAACCCATAGCTGGGACTATGAACCAGGATCTGGGAGAGGGGTGGTATGATGGGCATCCGAGATGTACCCACAGCGGTGGTGGGGTACTGCCAAATATTTGCCAAATATTTGGGGATGGTCGTTGGCTATTGGAGCTTGTGGGAGCAGTCCAAGAATGGGGCACCTGGCCATCTGCCGAGGCGGCAGACAGCTCTCCAGTCGATGGACTGCTGCCTGGGTGATACACCGGATCGACAACTGGAAGTATAGGCGATACAGTGTTTGGGCATTTGAATTCGGTTGCATCTGTCATCGTCACATCCCTTTCTGTATGCCCGTGTCAGGTACTAGTGAGTTATGATGATGATAATGACCAACTCACCATCAATGTCAGTCATCGCAGCTCGGATATTAGACGTCCTAGACCAGGAGATTCCATCATGCACCAGCGATTTTTCTAACGATGCAAAAGATAGGGGTTGGTCGAGCGCCACGGGTGATTGACGAGCCGCATCTTTAGGAATACATCAAGTCAAGATTGTCCAAAATACAAGAGACGACAAACCTGCTGAGCGGTGAGGAATGATCCAACCTCCACTATCCTGCATTGTCTGTTCCCTGTACAAAGGGATACACAGTAGAGGTGCAAGAACTACTAGAGCTTACCCAGGCTGTAGTGGGTAGATAAAGAAATAGCGGGTGCAGCGAACAGCGAACAGTGCGGGTGATGGAATACTGACTTAGAACGTACACTGGTAGTAGCTTGGGTGGACTATGACAAGCTAATGGCGTGGCTCGATGTTGGAGGCATGTCCTGTCTTTCGACTCCGCGTTTCCGTGTTACTACAGCAACCAATTCAACTCCAGTCCAAGAACGTCAAGTTGGATAAATCTCACTTTTGCCACCAACCCAATCTGCCATCTGCTGGAATGGAATGCAGTCTTGGTGGAGTTTCTTCACACTAGTGAAACTTCTGCCAGTGGAGCACAGTGAGAAGTATCAGAGGTAAACGTAGTTCGAAGCCACATCGCTGTTTCAGTGGTGTTCATCCTGCAAATGCTGCGATTTGAATGCAAAGTGTTGGTGAACTTTCTTCAGGCTCATGAGACTTCCGCCAGTGGAGCCCAGTGAGAAGTATCAGAGGTAAACGTGGCTTGAAGTCATGTCGTCGTTATCATTCTTGTTTGACAGCAGCGGGTAATGAGAGTCTATTTGCTGGGGATTTGGACTTCCTTGGCAAGTACCAAAGTCCAATTTGGGAAGTCCGCCCCCTTTAGTAACAGCGCCACTTGAGGAAGAGTGCGGAAGAGACAGACGGAGGGGCGGGACTTTAGCAAGAAGTCATAGCCAAAGCTTGAGAGCAGAAACAGATGGCGAGCATTAAACCTTGTGTCATTACAGTGGTGCCGGTCATAACCATGATGCTAACATGAGCACGTGTTAGCTCGTGTTCTGCCTTGGTTCTGCCATTGCAAAGTTCGAACATCCTCCTTTGCCCTTATGCTTGCGAGTAACGCATCGTAGTATTCCCCTTGGCCAATCAGCCTATCACCTCAGGAGCCAAATACCTTTAAAAAGGGGAGGCACTGGAGTCCAACCTCATCTCCATCTCTGCAACCTGAACCCCATTCAAACAGCTTGAAACCAATCCAGCCTTTGCCTTTGCCATGCCACAAGATGCAGCCACCACGAGCCATTTCTGTGACTTGATGAGTGAGTCTGCCCTTTATTTCTATGCATGATGGTTTCCTGAGGCTATCACTTAGGACTCACCGTCGAGGCCCATCCGCTCACCGCTGACGACAAGGCTTTCATTTGGTCGCTCATTGATGGGCCGACTGCAGATCCGGAGCCTGCTCCTCACATTCCAATGCATATTGAGTCTGCCACCATGCCGACCGGTTTCACTACCGTCACCACCTCGGTCTCTTATGCAGTCGTGCACTTGCGAGAGGCTGATGTGTACTTTCGCTGCTCCAATCCATCAGCTACGACCTTTTGGGTGGTCGTTCACGGCAAAGTTCTGGGAATTTACGATAATGCGTGAATTGTTTCAAAGTCAATATAGCCGACTGTTTACTGATGCGCTGTTTTGGGCAGGGCCGACGCTCTTGTGCAGTGCACTGGGGTTTCCGGCTTCCACCAGCAGGCAGGATTTTCCACGTTGGGTGAGGCTGATGCCTACATGCTTTCATTCATCAAGAAGACTGATGCCTGGGGAATCATGGTTGGTTACATTTGTATTCTGTTATTCTTTGTGCGCATTACTCACATCTGTCTTGTGCAGGTCAACCAGCCCAATGGTGAAGACTTGGACTAGGATAATAGTTAACAGGATTGGCCGGAACTGGTGACTGAGGCTGAGCTGCGTTTGTCGTCTTGCCATTTAAAATAGTTCATCAGTAGGGCAAATACTTATCAATGTTACCAATGTCATATGAATGCTTTGAATATTGTTGCGCAACAGTGAAACTTATCATCCAATGGTGGAACTTATCATCGTAGCATGATATAAAGTGTTAGGTTTAGTCATAGTGGTCAAAACTGTAAGATGTAGATGTCCGATGAGAGTATTGTATCAAATGGTCATTCTGGGTTGTTGTCAGATGACAGTCACCTGGACTTGGCTGTACTCATATTGTGCCCCGGCAACCTGGCAAGCTGACATCGTGGAAGCGGTTCGAAGCCGCCAGGACCTGGGTACATCTGAGGACTGTTCAAGAGGCAAATAAAAGTCATGTCCCTATCCTGTCAGTATATAACTCTGATATACCAAGTTAGCAGTCCGTCCTTAGTACTTGGGAACTGTCATGTTGGTGAGAAAACCAGCCCTTGCATGTGTAGCCCCCTGGAAGGAACTACAGGTCTTTTCCTTGAAGTCTTCCCGACATGTAGCAATGACGATGGGCATACGTGGGGTGTGCCGGTGCTCTACATCTGGTCCCAGCTATTAGAACGACTGGTCCCGGTTATTAGTACATCTGGTCATGGCTATTAGAAACTGAAATCGAGGTACTTCACGTTCTCGTTCATCCTCTTTCTGACTCCCCGGTGCACCTTCCACAAACATGCCCCTCTATAAACTCAACGTTTTCTCTCTCATCGACCTCCATTCCCTCCAGGCATGCTGTACCTTCACAGCCACAGGACGACTTCCTCCCTGCTACACGTTCTCCATGCAGACGATCCCTCCGTCCTTGAGACCCAGTCAAAAGTCTGGAGGCCTGGGTCGATATCCACGGGTGCTGGTCGATCCATCGATGCCTGCAGACATGCAGAGGTTTTCATGGATGCACTTGGATGAGCATACTCTCAAACCGCCATAGATTTATGACCTTTGAGAACTTTGGACAACAAGTCGACAAGTGCTGGTGAACTTGCCAACCATTTTTTGTGTGTGCGATAATGTGGGGCTGACGCTCCCGGCAAAGTCCGAACACACTCTCCCTTTTACCATCACAACCATCGCCCGGCATATTGCTGTTCCCTGCTGCGCTACCATTCCCGCTGAATACCGTCGCCTCCTAGTTCATTTACAGTGATTACATGGCCTAGATGCTGCAAATGGTGTCCAGCTCATTGAAACGGTGCTGTAGATCTGGAAAGGCACCAAGGCAATCGCATATAATCAGCATCTTCGTTCGTAGTTGACGGTGGTGAGGAGATTGGACGTGATTTAGTTGTGGGAGAAGGTGAGTCTGCTAATATCCCTCACCATTTCGTTGTCTTATTCTCTGTTACGCTGCATTAGGTTGACTTCATGACGATGCTATATATTCATGTCATCTCTTCCATTTCGCTTTTTCTAGGTGTGAAGTTATCACCTTTTTGCCTAGCATTGATTGACTTACAGGCGTGAACTTTGGTGCTCATCAACTCCAGGTTACTACACATGACGCACTTTCGTTGGCCATGCCCTTTCCCTCCTTGGATGTGGTATGTTAAAGCTCTATATTATGGGTATCTGCTTACAGTCATTCAGGTTGGCTTGTAAGACCCCTCTATGCATCATGTGGCCGGTTGGTGAGGTGGGAGGCAAGGGATGGGTATCTGGCAGAACAAGAGTTCGATAGGTGGCGGACGCCTGGACCTGTAGCTAGCTGCTATAGCTAATGTATATAGGTAGCAAGCAAATGAATACATGTTCTATTGATTCCTATCGATGTACAATGATGCACACTGACAATAATCTATGGGCATCGAAGGATATCCATAGGTAGCGATCGCAAAATCATGGGATGCCCCATTCTTAGCTAGCTATGGGTTTCTATCGATTTATCAACTGATATACACTGCCATCGACTCAGACCCACAGACTTTTGACTGGGCTTGAGATCTTGAGAGTCTATCACTCCCTCCTCCGTGCTCGTATCCATCCTCCTCCTCTCTGCCCACAGACCTGTGCCGACCCTCCTGCATGAGCATGCACCCTGCACACATCTGCACTCTGCGATGCATCTGTATGGAATGCTGTCACTACACAATGTCATTACTTCTGTCGTCATTGCTGTCGGTACATTCTACCAAGCAAAAAACAATGTGTTAGCTGATGAATACCGCCACTGTGAATGTGTACATAGCGTAGGGTTGATGCTGTAGGTGGGCTGGAGAAAACGTAGGTTAGCACAGAATGAAGTCAACTAGTGCCGTCACGTACACACAGGATCGTTAACGGTGCATATCATTGCTCCCAGCTCAAGCTTTGAATTGTCGGCCACCTTCGCAATGTTATGTTAGATCATTGAAATCGTCGAGGGAAAGAAGGGGGGACTCACTGTCATAGTCGTCGCTGTCGGAGTGATGGAACATATCAACAAACGGGCCTGTGTCAGGGGTGCATCCAGCGATGGCGGGACAGGGACGGGGAATTCAGCGAAGGAGAGGGCGGTGGATTAGCCGGAGCCTTCCCCAGCATCTATAGGTTCCTCCGCACCTTCTTGCGCAAACGTTCCCCTCCATCAAAGAAACACAGACCATCTCAGGGACATGCATGTGGCCTCCCATCCGGTCCCCCAGCCACTGCGCCACCAACACCCGCCGTTACCCCATCTCCAAGACCTCATCCTAGCGGAAACCAAATACCATGTCAGAGGGGCACCGGCGAGAGGAATCAAGAAAATCGACAATGCAGACCTCACCTCTAGTGTTCATCAGCCAATGATCATGTAGGAGTGTCAGACTGGTGAAAGACCACATCGTGCTTAACGTCGATGTCACCATTGCCACTGTGTAAGTCAATAGTCTTTCATCAGAAGATTTATCTTTAACAAGAATACCCAAGTGTTCTTGAACATCATTTGGAAGACCTATCAGCTGAATTTCTTAGTTTGCGCGATGCCTGTCAATTGGAAAATTTAGAGGAAAGTCAAATTTCAAGAGTGTGCCATTTCCTTCGTAGCATGAAGGTGATATTATCTCACCGCCCGGATCATGGTCGTTGTACGATCTTCATTTGATTCTAAGCAGATTCACTTAAATTTTACTTAGGAGCACTTTATAACTGCGTATAACATCCATACATGACCAGGATCCTTAGACGTTCAATTTGGGCCACAAACTCTCATACCAAATGCCTGATGCATAGCTATGCAGCAACTATATGATGATGGTGCATTTGTTTATATGAGATGCTCATCTTTTGGTGCTTACTTGCATGGTTCAGATAATATTGAGACCAACATATCATCAATAGCCCTCGACACCTTGTGGGCATCTGAGGAGCTCACAACAGCAGCACATTATTGGTGCAAGGCCGAGAAGAGAGCCACTTGCTTTATGATTTCGGTTCAGCCATGTTTGAGTCCATAGGCAATATACTCTATGCTGATTATTACTCTTGTTTGCCTGCAATTCACGCTTGACATTGCCATCGAAACATTTCAGTGGACGTTCTGCATCTGAGGAGCAAGCCTGTACGCCGTCAGTTCAATAAACTATTAGACTACTAGACGACAGTGTTCTAATAGACTATCGGCCAACATACTAACTCCCTACTCCCGTCCTTCCAACTTTCCGTGGAGATTCTCTTTTGCCCCTTCGATTTCATCCAGTTCAGAGGTCTACTGTGTTATCTTGGCATACATCAGCATATACCATATGCAATCCTGGGATGGTCGTCATCTTCTTCTGTTCCAGTCGTCTCCTTCTACCCTGATCATTTTCGACGCTTCAGGCTATTTCTTAGCAGTAGGATGTCGGTAGGTGACCAGTAATGCATAAACTTGTCTCCACAGTTGACACACTATTCACAGGACACTCCAACCAGCATAGTCGACCAGATGCTTGTCCCAAAAGCGAGCCTGCTGGATCTTCCCAACGAGCTTGTGTTCATGATTGTCGGTCACCTGGACCTGGACGACGCTGCTGCCTTGGGTTGCATTTGTCGACGTTTGAACCATCTATCACTGTGGAGCTATATCAACTCCACCTTTGCATGATTTTCGCATCTAGGGCTGGCAGCTGACTGCCATCCCTTCTCATCTTTGCGATTGTTCCATCTTTCTCTTTTTCACAAACCCGTCATTCCCTACATGACGCTCACATTCTCCTCGGATTTCCGCTCTGAACTGGCCAGAGTAGCTCATTTCGTGCAGTTGATCAATTATATCCCGATGGTTCAAGTCGACTTCACCAGTCTCACCTTCGCATTGCAGGAGGGTGAGTCCATGTCACAGTTGTATGATGCCTTTGCGGAGTTCTGCAGGAACCTTGCCACATTGGACTGTGTGGGCTTGACCCTAGGCTATGACATTGAGGCGTTTGAGCAAGTCTTCTCATCATCGACAACGTCCTTTGCACCAGCACATCTCACATCCCTATATGCTGTCACCATTCCACGTCAGCCGCAGAAAATGCTCGACTGGCTCCTTCATTCCCTCAACAATTCTCCTGTTCACGTCATTGTGATAGATGGGGCACTCGAAGCCATCCTTGCAGACGCAACCTTGCCACAGTTAACTGCCTTTACCTGTCTTTATGCCCCAGATGGCATGGAAACGACAGTTGGTATGGTGGAATTTCTGGGATGTCACCCGTCTCTGACTACCATCATCCTGGGTGCTCGGTCATTCAGGCGCCAAGATGTAGAACTGGTTAGGCCGGCTCTACGCCCTTTTCCCATGCTTGAGAGCATTACGGCCTCCCTGGATGTGTTAAATGTCATCCTGGGCATACCCTCGCTGTTCCCGGCTATGCATGAGATATGTATCCAAGGCCCTGTGTTAGACCCTCTTCAGGGAACTCGGGAGGAATGTTTTCTCATGCTCTCCGCTCTCCTCATCCTGATATCACAAACACCTGTGGTGTCTACTTTAAAGGTCCCCTTCTTGAATGGCTTTGATCACTTGGCCTGGAATTCATTCATGCCTGTGGGATGGCGTCCGGAGGCTTTCCTTACCAAGATAACGAAATTGGTGTTTTATGGGATGTCACTTCGGCAGATCAGGCCAGGCCTTGAGGAGCCCCTCAACCTAATTTGCATGACATCATATTTTCATTCGGTCGAGGAGGTGGTTGTGGAGGACGAGAGCTTTTCTACTGAGGACGAGTGGCTGAAAGACTTGTGTAGTGCATGCCCCATGGTGTCTCATCTGGTGATCAACTCAGATGAGCATAATTTTGTGTAGGTACCACATATGTAACAAGGTCGTAGCTCAGCATACTGTTATTTTATGCAGAACTGAATTTTCATTTTCGTATAACCAACCCATATCACGTGATGACTGGTTGCATATCACACGTATACTCCAATGTCTGTCTCAGTCTCACTGTCAAGAGCAATTCGAGAGCCAGGCCTGGTCCTTGCGTGTGTTTGACATACATGAATATGTCTTTGCTATCTGATTTTTGCTCACGGCGTAGATGGTGATTTGTCTAGCACATTCATTCCGCACCCACCATGCTCAACTCAGTACAACAGGTATCTGCTGTTACAACCGCCGCTCAAGGTTATCCGCTGACTTTGATTTTGGCGATGTCACGGGCATGAGTTTGTTGACATGAAGTCCACCACTTCATCAAGGGTCTGGTAGTCACCATCGATGCCGCGTCACTAACTTAAAGTGATCTGAAGGTCAGCTAAATGTTTATTCCAAAAGTTAATTGGTTGTCATCCGCGCAAGGAAATAACAGGCAGTACGGAAGCCTTGATAAATGCATCTCTTGGCGAATATCAGCTTTTACCTTTGCAAGCCTGCCTGGAGCAAGCATTCTTTGCATGGGGTTCCGTTTTATCACTTCCTGTGTCAGTGAGGTGGCTTCCTCGGGAAACCAGCGGGGTCTATCATGGCAAAGCCAATCGACGGCAGTGGCCTGCAGAGTGAGCACGAGGTACCTGATTTATCTGATGATAATAATAATAATTCATTTGGGTCCTTAGAGCGCCTGGTTCTTGTTCACCCCAGTTGACCCAACCCATCCTGGTATTGAATCGGAAAGCAAGTATACCTATCAGCTTCAGCTTCTGCTTTTACATCCATTCAGTTGCGTCTTCTTCTAGTTCCCATTACCGGATGTCTGCAGTAGGACTGTTCCTTTCCTAACATACACAATGGCTAACATGGCATACAGCGGTGCAGATCAGAGTTGTCAGCATTTGTGGTTTCTGATGAGCACGATGGCTCAGGTATGTTATTTTGACCTCTCTTTTGCTGGTCCAGCCTAACCTCACCTCGATCATCTAGGCATGGAGTATATTGGGCATGGAAGATAACACACTGGAATTACAAGTTGACCAAAAAACGGACATGAACTTGCAAGTCATAGAATTGGTATGTCGTCCTTCTGCTCGTATGGCTCCTGGATAATAAACACTGAGGTTCAAATAGGCATCCATGGTGCCCCACCTCACTCTCGATGATGCGGTGGGTTTGTTAGATCTGCCCAATGAAATCATCCTCGCAATTTTGCATGACGTCGACCTGAATGATTTGGTGTCATTGGCATGGCTTAGTCAACGTCTGAACCTTCTGGCACTGAACATGTACCTGGAACGCTGCCAGAAGGTATCGGACTCGATCGGGTCTTTTGGAGGACCAGGCAGGGCTTTCTCTTTCCTATGCGTGCTCCGATTGTGTTTCTTCAATCGGCCCCAAATCACATCAATGTCGCTACATTTCTCTGGAAACTTTCATGCCGAGATGGAAGAGGTCCGACATTATGTCGAGCTTGTAGGTCCTGTGCCTCTGTACGTCGACATCAGCAAAATCTGCTTGAATGTGGCGGGAGGACCTCAGTTCGATATCTACCGGAAAGCAACAGAGCTAGAGGAGTTTTGCCATCTTCTACCTAGCCAGGACTGCCGTTCGCTCACTTGCTCGAGGTATGCACAGTGGTTTGACCAGTTAATCCCCCTTCCCACGACTTTCTCTCCTCCTGCTATAACGACATTGCATAGTATTCGGTTGCCCAGTCATTCGGCAAAGTTACTGGACTGGCTCATCAGGTCCATGAATGCATCACCTCTGCACACCATAGTCCTTGAGTGGCTGACCGAGCAGGTGCTGGAGCGGCTGCGCCTACCTCATTTACGGAACATGACATGCATTGATCGCATAGATCATGACATCTCTTTGGCACTGCTAGGGTTTTTTTTGAATCGTCATCCAGTGCTGGAGACGCTCAGCATTCTAGGGCATTCCTTGTATGTGGATGATCATAGGCTCTTGCAAAGTATCCTCCAGCCCATGCCTCATCTCACAAGCCTTTCGGCGAACTTAAATGTTCTGGGCGCTTTCTTTGGGTGCTGGGGTTGTTTTCCAGCGCTGGAAGACATTGGAATAGAGGGTCCACTGACAGGGATGTCAGGCTGGTTCTATATAGCGCACACTGCAGTGCAGCACAACTATGTTCGAGACACATTCACATGCCTAGCAGCAGTCCTTGCCCTCATATCAACTATCAGGAGCATAATGTCCCTGAGACTTCCCTTCCTTTCAAACTTTGAAGGGAATGCTTGGAACATGTGCATCTTCGGCAAAGATGATGCTGACCCAGATGCGGTAGTTCCCCTCCCGACGAATAGCCACCCAACAACTCCAGGCCAATGTCCCGAGTCACTTTTGACTCGCATCGATACAGTCACTTTGTTCTCAGTGGAGGGACATCCTCTGAGGAGAGACTGTTCATTCGATATAGCCTGAGCCACTGGTTATTTTCCATCCTTGCGCACATTAGTGATCCAAGATCCATCTTATCTGGCTGATATGGGATGGGCTGGGAAGGAGACGGTACTACTGGATAAATTGACCTCTGCTTGCTCCCTCCTTCAGGTTGTGAAGCTCAACAACATGGAATATCACCTTCGAGATAGTGGCATAGAACTATGTCATAATGATGGAGAGTAGTGTGCAACGAGATGTGGGCCCATCTTGGACTGGTGAATATCTCGTCTCTCTCACTGAAGTACGATATCCTTATGTTTTTTGGTGTTATTTTGGTGTTTCAGCAGTACTATTCATGAAGCGCGCCATATTTCTTTCTTGTTATTTCCGTTTTTCTTGTGTGGACAGCTTGTTTCCGCACCTTTCTTGCTATCAGTTGTTGCTGATCTTGTTTCTGCATTTGCGTCAGTCGTTTTGGCCATTTCTTGTGTTGTTTTGGTTCATTTCTTGTGTTATTTCTCATTTCTTGTCTATCTGGTGTGTTCGTCAGATTACTTTACCCTTCTCCTCACACTTGCTGAATGTTTGTGCCATAAGTATCTTATACTATTGGAATTGATATTTCTATGTTTTTAGCGTACATTCTTTAGTTATTCATTAGTGATTTGTGTAGTAGAATATACAGTCATTACATTTATGAGACAACCATTACAGAATGCTCCTACTATCCGTTTACGCTATTCGCCCTCTCTTAGACACCGTGTGGCCCCCTTCACAGGTGGGGGTGCACTCGATTAGGCGTGGCTGAAGAGCGGCTGGATTGTATCAATAGCACCGAATCCTGATGAACCATAAAACACTTACATCTGTGAACCACAAGGGTATGTAACTGGATGTATTTGGCTTTCTATGTTGGAGGTGATACATGGCATGTAAGTTAATCAGAGATGTTTGAATACGTGTTAGTCCCTTCTTATTTGATAAGCGTCAATAAGTGTCTGGTAGAGTAGTCATTTCCTGCTCTATGTATTTAGAGATGTGCTCGCTTACCTTGTATTTAATAAGTGGCTGGCAGAGTGGTTTATAAACATTCGTTCTCCTGTCAGTAGCATCTCTTAGAAGCTCGTCAGACTCATCAGATAGTACTTGTGCTAGTTCTCAGCAATATGGTAGACATGGGTAGGTGTAGACTTGGTTTAGCTGGTGACAACTGGCACTGACATAGGCTACAGTCAATACTGAAGAAGAAGCTATGTCTGCAGAAAACCTGCAGCGATCTCTGGATGCAGGTGAGCACGCTTTGCAGTGTTTGTAGGATGGCTCATACTGATAGAATGTCAAGAACCTGTGGACAATGAAGAGCAGCTGTATTTGGCAAATAATGTGGCGATGTTTGATAAACTCGAGAAGAAATCAGACTCTTTCTTTTTGGATGCATGGTTCGAGACTTTTCGGATGTTTTTCGCTATACATTGGCCTCCTGAAGATCAAAGTGAACATGGAATGTGTATGTTTTATGAGGCCAGTTTTATGCCGTCCACTGTTTTTCTTTCCTTACTGATAGGAGCATTACAGGATCTGAAGCGTCGTCTGAGAGAGGCCTTTCAGAGTTTTGATGCTGAAACTCAAAGGCGTGAGAGGATTCGTGTTGAAGAAAAGTGGGAGCTGGTTTATCCAGGCGAACGTATTCCCAAGGAGTGTAGTCAAACGGGAAATGAGGAGTCTACCATGATAGGAAATGGCGGACAGAAAGCTCGAAAAGCTCGTCATATTCGTCCTATCAACCTATTTACCAGAGATGGGGCTTATGTTTCTGGACAGAAGTCACCATAGATAGGTACGTACATCAGCTAGAAGTAATGGCATTGGGCTATGAGAGTTATATACATCATTATAATAATAACGGTAGTTATGGTAGCCAGACTTTGATCTGCCCGGATCCAATTCGCTTCTCATCCATGGCGATGCTTTTCTTGAGGAGATTCTCATATGTAGTCTTAGCCTTGGCGACTTGCCTAACTCGCTGTGGATCCTGAGGTTCTTGGGCTAGTCGAATCATGGATTGCTGATAGGTTTGGTGTGCTGACTGAAGCTTATTGTTTTGAGTGAAGAGGTCGGCATCGGCTTTTTCTAAGGTTCTGGACCTGGCTAGAGCTGTTGGAGGTTCATTTGTGAGGGGGATTATATTGAGACAGAAACACAACTGACTCTTCCTTTTGACACTGAGTTTGGTGGATGCAGTGGTGTCCATCGGATGGTTTCATGCGAATATGCCGGCTTTAAGGTGTGTCTGATAACAAAGCAAAGCAGGATGGTCAGCTCAGTGCAATGCACACTATATCATATAATAAGGAGTAGAAGCAATACCTGTTGGGACTTCATCCTCATCATGTCGAAGTGTTGGCCACAGCGGATACCCCCTACAAGTGAACACTGTATACCCTCATGGTTGACATCTGCATGGAGTCCTTCAGCAAGATTAGTATGCGAGTTTCCAGCTTTCCAGATGTCCAATGGAAGTTTGCTCTTCTCCCAGCACATAGCTTCAAAGGCAAACTTGGACCGTATTTTATCCTGAACCCAATCTGACCACAGGATTAATAGAAGTATCACAGTAGGATATAAGGGACAAGTACTGGTTCCAGTGGTTTTCCCTAAGACTTGGATCTTATAAACGGCTGAGTCAAAGTTCTTGTGAGTGATACACATAAGACTACGCATGATTGTCTTGACTTCATCGGTGACTTTAGCCTTCTTGATATTGCGCTCGACATGTACCCAGCAGAGATGAAGAAGACGATGGACATGTTCATATTCACTAAGCTCATGAAGATAACGGTGAGGCTCGTGTAAATCTCTTTGGGACAATGGGATCTCCTTCTGAGCTATCGCTTGAAGATGTAGACCAAGTCCTATAGCAGTCTTTCAGCAAGGTCGAGGCTCAGGAAAGCAGAAAATGATGTATTACCTCTTGCTTGTCCACCATCTTGATCAACTCCCCAATGAAGAATGCCACGCCGTTCATGGAGGCTGGGAGAATGCAAGTGTCGATATTGCAGCCACTTGCTGGTGTCTAGATAGACAATTTGGCGGATTTTGTCGAAAAGTCGTTGATGAGCTTGAGCGGACTGACAATTGAGTAGAGCACAGCAGTAAACCACACCTGGAAACATTTGCATTGAGATATTTTTAAAGTGTTACGGTACATGTATAGCCTACCAGTTTTAGCGATATAGTCGAATCCAACAAGCTTGAATTCTTTGTAACCAGCCACTCGTTTGAATGAGATGTCAGATTCCACGTATTCGGCATGAAGGAGATCATGGCTGCAAGATGGGCTCATGCACAGTATGAGCCTGAATGAGCCATGGTCATCAGCTAGAGGGCCTGGATCAGGGTCATTGAGTGATTCCCAGGGCATCTCTTCAATATGACGAATATAGTGTTCTTTGGATGGTACCGTACGGTTCTGAATGTCTAACAATGATTTTATGCCTGGCAGGAGTTGTAAGTATAAATAAAAGAGAAGGAGACAATCATGTCTTACCGTTCCAGCCAGTTCCATTGGGGTATTGCATAACAATGGCGCTCTTGATTATTGCATCGAGGTGATCAAGGTTGGCTAATGACAGATGTAAATCGGTTGCCATGGGTAGGGGCATATCTGGTATTTGCACAGCAAGATAGGACCAGAAAAGTGGATGTTGTAGAAGACGACGTGGTGTGATATCAGGAAGCTCCTGCTCCAGTGATAGGAGCATGGTCTTGAGTGATTGTCGAATGGGTTCCGGTGTAGTCGTTGGTAATGGAATCGGATGATTATGGGGAGAGTGACACACCACAAGAGTGTGAGGACATTGGTCCCGATATTCAGGAAGTGGTATATATGCAGTAAACTTGGCATTACAGGATAGAGCTACCATCTCGGTCATATACATGGTGAGATCTTTTGGAGAGCAGTGCGTATGAGCTGTAGTTATTGAGTGAACACGCAAGAATCATTCTAGAGGTCGAAACTCATGACAGTTGACTTTCACGGAGGTAACGTTCTGGACATGATTGCAAGGAACGAGTGGCCCATATCCATGATGTTTAGCATACTGCTCCCAATAGAGAATGGTTTGGTGGTCATCATTGAGCAAGGCAAAGAGATAGTCGACATTGTATGGGCCATCAGTGATGGACCGATTAACAAAGTGCTTCTTCAAAGACTGGCTGTTATAATGTTCGCAACTGCGCAAGAGGCCGAAAGAAAGTGAAAATTGGTAAAGAGGTAAGAAAAGAAGCCACACATACACTATATATGAGTATCCCTGCAAGCTTTGCTTGACAATGATATGACCTTGACACTTATCCTTGGAAAGCTGCCCACGGCATGCTTTGGTGGGAGTACGATCTCATTGATTGTTGGTATCCTGCTCATCGACAGTATAGGATGTAAGTTCTTGTGCAGGATAGGGACACCCACCATCGCGAATGGCTACCCAAAGTGAGAGTGTCTTCTGAAAGTATTGTTCAGGTGTGGGTTCCACAACCAGGGATCTATCTTGCTGAAGCTGCTGGTGCAGAGCCTCGGATGTAGCTTGGAGATGAGGTCGCCGGACTAGCTGGGGATCAGAAAATGGGCACATTTTCAAGCCTTGACCTATGGGAGGGACAATAAGAACATCTACTTGTGGACTTTTCATGAAAGAACAGACATACAAGTGGTAAAAATTCTTGCGCATGGAACAGCACAGCCATTGGAGTCTGCAAGAGGGAAAACGTAGACAGGTTTTCGAGTACCTTTGGGAGGTCCAAGCGAGTAGGCAACATCTCGAAGAGGATTGTAGATGTCTGAACCTTTGGTGACAGTGAAGAGGTGACCAATTTGTGAGTTTGGAGAGCTAGTGGTTTCAGGATATTGAAGTGTAGTGGAAGGGTGATAATGGATCAAGCGTTCCAGCGTTGTAGCCTGGTTGAGCATGACATTGTGGGATTCTGAAAGTGCCTTCGGATCAGATTGTTGACTTATCTGAGTAGGGCTTAAACTCGTTTGTGGTGGAGTGCCAGAGCAAGTAGTGGTGACAGAGGATAGTACAGGTTCTGATGGTCGGGAAATGACTTTGTTGGTAGAGTGGGGGGTTAGAAGGTCGTCAAAGGTGAGGTAGGGCATTGACAGGCATTTGCATGAGTAGCTTGGACATGAGGCTTCATATCGCGTCCTGCAACTGCAAGGTCTGTAGCTCCTAGTGCTGGGGGTGTCTGGGGGCTAGTAACTTGTTGCTGGGATGAACGAGCGGCAAGTGGCGTTTGACGTTGAATTAGAACGGGCATCTCGAAAGGTAAGCGGGAAAAAGTGTCACAGACTGGAAGTGAACGTGGTAAGAAGCGATGCAATGGATGGTGGAAGAAGGAAGTAGCAACCTGCAACGTAAGAATGTCAGAACAAGGTGATGAAGTTGATGTGCCCTTGTACCGATATGGATGAGGGGCGGGCACGAAGAGGGGGATGCATGCAGTGTGGCATGGTTTGGCAACAGGAGCCGAATGTCGGACGGAGCAGGAGGTGAAAAGCGGAAACGCTTTGATGTGCCTGGTGGTGCCTTATATCAGGACCTGGAAGGTAATCGGAGTGGTACCCATCGACTGATCACTCCTTTCGTCTGGATATGGGGGTATAAGATCATTAATAGGATAAAGCTGTACGTCACAGACATGGTCGTGTCTGATCCGGCACCATACAACGTTGCTGCGCCCCACTTGATGAGATCTTGTTCGGAGGTCAAGGATTTTCCGTGGAGTTTGAGCATCGTTTCCGTGTATGAGGGTTTCGATACGCCACGCTCCTGCTGATGGTTAATGCTGTGAACATATTTTACGACAACAAACTGATTTATGGAGACGAGTCCTGTAGCCTACTTGTATTGGACTGTGCAGCAAGCAAAGGTAGAGTCCCTGCCAAATCTTCCGCTATGCTGCGCCCGTGCACCAAGATGGGATCGGGTTTGTAATTGACTCGCATGGCGCCAAAGGCACCGGAGCTATTTGCACACACTCCAACTACTCGCTGGATGTAAGGAACAAGCTGATACTTGAAAATCTCCCCAGAACACTGGGAACTGGCGTTTCCACCTTTGCGCATGCACACGAATACATGGCCGGACTCAGTGCAGGCTATGATCATGCCGTCACTGCCTACGGCCACATCCTGGCAGGGCATCAGTCGAACCCAAAGTGAATATGGGAAGAACAAACTTTGGCTGCACTGAGCTGCTTCTTCAAGGCCATGCCGGTTGCGGTACAAAGGCTTTGGAAGATGGAGGAGATCCTTCTGCTTCGGTCAGCATCGGGATCACAAGCAGGAAGATCTCTCCGTTCGAAAACAAGGCAGCCACTGTATCATCGCAGTTAATTATTTTGGAAACGTGGGCTCCTTTGATGGCCTGAGGAGGTCGGTAGGGCTGTATTTGCTAAGGAAAGCCATGCGCCGGAAAGCTGTTTTCAAATGTCGGTGTCCTGAATAAGATAACCGTAGATGGAAGACTGACTTGATCTTGAAGCTTTGGTCACTCCATACACAAATGACTTCCTGCATCACAAGAAGACAGATCATGGCGGCGTCTGTGAGACATACAGATGTGACGCGCTTGGTGGTTTTGGTCACCTTCCGAGGTAGAACCTGTATGGGTTGAGCTGACTTATCATAACCTGATCGCACTATGTTAGAAATGAGTCATGCACAAAACGATAAAGCACACCTAATTGTCCGTTATTTGTGCCCCATGTAAAAACCTCCATCACGGTCCAGCAAGCGGACGAAGTCTTGCTCGCGGCAACACCCCTGACAAATTCTTTCTTGAGTTGACCGACAATTTTCTTCAGTGCCGACTGGATAGGCCCTTCAATCCGACCAATGCTGGCGATCGAACTTGTTTCGACAATGTAACCCAGCTGTGCAAACTGATTCAGTCCCCAGCTGAGAACTTCACCGGTGTTGGTGAGAGCCAAAGTGTGATCTTGCCCCAGCGGGACAGAAACTATAGTCTGATTGAGCTGTGATAGCGGAGTCAAGCTGTACTGGGTATGTTGTCCAGGCCCGAGCCTGCAGAGACTTTTCATCAATAGGTGAGTCACTAGCACCGAAATGATCACCCTGACCATCCTCCGCTTCCGAATCCACAAAGTCTTAAATTCACCTTCTTCTCACATGTAACGATGACTAGCATTTAAGGTAAAAATACGAAGAAGAATGGAAACGGGAACACACACCAGTATGTAGTTTGGAAGTCTGGACCTGGCGAACTTGTAGTGGAAAGAACTTGGCATGGATATTGGAGCTATCGGAAGAGTCTCTGCGAGGAATGACCACCTGGTTGGGATATGTACGATCATCACCATCGCCAAGACCGAGAGTAGCGTTCCTGTTACAAAGTCAACCTGAGTAACATATGTATTCTGAGCCAGATACCTATTTACAGCTCGGCACCAGAAACATTGACAGATGGTTTTGTGCCCTCCACCGTCTTGTACAACTCAAATGCGGTATAGCCCTCAAAGTCCTTCAGCGAAATGTCAATGTCCGAACGTTGAAGTAACAAAAGGCTATGTGATATCAGCAAGATTCACAGCAAAATTGCGTGAAGCAACGTATGCAGCACCCAGGTTCCCGTGAAATAAGGTCTGAATGGAAATTATTGCGACGAGAACCAGGTTTGATCTCGAACTTGACATGTGGATGAACACCTGCCTGTGAGTTAGCAAGGAAATCAAAGCGAAAGAGGAAGGAACGCACCAATAACGAATCGATACTGAACACCCTCCTATTTCCCATCCGCGGCCCAGCTCTTTCCATGTTCCTCGCATGAACGCCTCTGGGTTCGCGTCACACATCGACTATCATCTCTACACCCTCATACGTGCCCTTGACAAAGTCAAACATGGTCTCATATACCGCCCTTCAGGGTACCTTGAGCGAAACAACGCAAACGTGGAGAGAAGATGTGTATGGGTGTCAATTATTGTGGGTCGATGTGTGTTGAGAGAAGCCAGAAGTCATCAGGCCATGAGGAGGGAGAGAGTACTTTCTCTTGTTGGTTTCTGTCCATGGCAGTGGAGGTGGATGCGAAGAATGTATGTGGGTGTGGGGGGGATGTGGGTTTGTATACGAGTAAGCATGTGATCAGCTCGATTTTGTAACACGGACTCTTAACCTCAGGCAGTCTACAAGCACGTCGGTAAAAGAAATGACGTCTCTTCTGGTTACACTTCGAACAGCGTTCACTGCCGAATCCCCGTAAACGTCTCTCACCAAAAAAAAGTAGCGATGAGAGATGCATGATTCTGTAGTGTCAGAGATCAGGTGGGGCAGCCAGAGGGTGACAGGTTGGGGATGGAGGGACCACGAGCAAGTGGGTCGAGGACGACGACACAAGAGGAAAGCAGTCCAAGGGTAAACCGGACGTGTGTTGGCTATACCTAGGCAAGGTCGATTCAAAATCCCCAGGACCAAATTCAGACGCGCATGAATAGTAAACGGTGGGGTTGTTATGATTCTCCGGGCGATATAATACACGATGTTCTCCACCAGCACAATCAGTCACTGCAGCCTGTGAAGAGGTCAGAAGAAAGCACGACAGGGCGATGATAATGGAAATATATACCATCTCAGACAGTCACCACTTGTACTCTCCACCCCTGTCTCACGCACGGCATGTACAGTTGGTAGCGTCACAAATCCCTTCTCGACATGTCCGACATCTGCTCCACATCACAACATTCGCCACGAACTCTGCCGTCATCGTCAGAGAGTGCGAGAATGGCAACCTTGACTGAAGAGTGCCATACACGTTCGCTAGAACCACGGATGGAGCATCAGTCTCCAGCAGAATCCGCTTGTTATTGGCGGCCGACATTGTTTGGCAATGTTGAGACTTGGTGCATAGCAGACGTAGCAGACGACGGCTGTCAAGCCCATGCGGAGATGTGGAAAGTACCACAGCAGGCCGAGGTCGAAGGTGAAGTAGTGAACGTGGACCTGGAGATAAACGTTAGCTTGGAACGAGGGTGGATGGTTCAGGCAGTCGTACCTGGTGGTCCTAGGGTACGATTTCCTTGGTGATTTTCTCTGTATCCTCCTCTGCTTCTCATGTATGCACTGTTGTTGAGATCTTGAGATGCCACGATCCATGGCTATTGGCAGCTGCTGGGCGAATACTGTTTGTTGGACATCTAGCGGTGAGAATGTGTACTGGTGGTCGAGTCCAATCTCATCCAGCCCGAAGCATGACGGATGCGATAGTGTCTTGAGAATCTCGGATTCCACAGAGGAGTATATGATCGTGTTTGTGTCCGAATGTAAATTATCTCGGCATGAGCCGTAATCGGATTCGTAGAACGTACGGATGAACGCCTGTTTGTAAGTTAGCAATAAAGTTCAAGAAAGAAATGCACCGATAATGAATCGATAATGGATGTCCTCCCATGTTCCATCTGCAAGCTCCTTCCGCGTCCCTCGCATGAAAACCTCCAGCTCGCATCATATGCCGACTATCATCCCTAAGCCATTATCCGCATGCTCGCTCTTGATAAAATCAAGCGAAGTCTCATTCAGAGTACTGTGAGTGACAAAGCAAATTTCAGGAGAAGATGCGTATGATTATCGATTGTTGTGGATTGCGAGGTCGACGCATGGAGGAGGATGGGACCCGGAGCTCTTTTTCTTGTTGTTCTAGCCCATGGTAAAGGAGGTGGTTGTGAAGAATCATAGACGAGAGACGTGAGGAGATCGAAGAATGGACTGGAGATGGAAGATCTGGACAAAAATCTCCAATTTCGTATTTTAGTGATGTTTTCGGGGCTTATGAGGTTGGAACTAGTGGTGATTCTGGCGCGCCGGGCTCCGATGGTGCTTTCAGAGTAAGTGACAGTGCAGCTAGAGATTGCAGAGTTGGAGGAGAGCGTAAAGGAATGCGTGGGAGTAGCTGCTGATAGCGAGTCTGAGTGATGTCGCTTGGCAGGCTGAAGAAGCTGAGAGTCAAGGAACGCAGATGGAACTGGTTGGGGTGCGGATGGACTGGTTGAGAGAAAGGAGGGGACTAGAATTGTCGTTGCTTGTGCACCAATCAAAGTTGATCTCAGTGACGCCGTTGTCGGGCTGTCTTTCCCAAGGTGATGCGGTGTTGGGTCTGAGATCTGAGGAGGGAACGCCGAACATCCAGCATCCAGCTGAGCATCGTCCGACGTGTCATTCGACACAATTTGCGATAGGATGGGCAACATTGAACGACAAAGATAAGTATGTAGACATTGTGTAGAGAGATTGTCTGATATCGAGATCGAGTCATGCACTGTACCACTCCGCTGAGAGGGTGGTGAAAGTCACGTACTCTCACAAAGGAGTTTCACGCAGTGTGTGACAGGTGTGAAGGCTGGTCGTTGCGAAAAACCCGAGCTACTACAGCAGTACGTAGCTCTTATATACTACTAGCTAATATCAAATAGATCCTATCGGGTGCGTCAAGAACGGTGGAGCGTGTGGAGCGACAACGAGGGGGAGAAATGAAGGGTAAGGACCGGGCCAAAGGCCGGCTCATTACATATGCCCTCCTGTCCAACGAAGTTGGGCACTATAGGTAGAGTAAGAAATAAACAAGTGTAATACCCTTGAATGAAGCAAGGAAAGTTAATGAAAGGATGTATAAAGTAAAAGGACATCACGAAATCAATTGCGGGTGGTCCTCATGGTGGAATCTCCATTCACGTCCGTTTTGTCGCCCTCCTTATCAACGTAGTAGAGCAAACCATCCTTGTCGGTATCAATGCCCTTTCCATGATCAGGATCCGAGTCTCCATCTGCATCGATTGATCCTGCACTGCCCTCAATGAACTCGGGGAGATCATCTGAGAGGAATCCCTCCAGCGAGTCTCCTGCAGCAGCATAGCAATCCTCGAAATCTTCATCCCACATTAATCCAGCCTTCTTATCAAGACGACGCTGGATAGCTTTTTCCTTGGCAGTCTCGCACTGGAAGAGCATCTGATGGCCAAGGAACTGAGTCTTGTTGTACTCGCATTCAGGAACAATAACATATCCAGGGATATTGAGCTGGCAAGGGTCGAAAAGGAACTTCATGTTGACGTGAAGCCCTTTGCTGGTAGGAGATGGGGAATTGAGATGTGCGAGGGTGTAGCCCTTAGGTCCGTTAGGATTGGTGGGACTGGGCTTGACCCATTCAACGAATTTTTCGGTCTGAGAACCCGCATTGAATGAGGCAGCGATTGCATCATAAGCAATGGGTTCAGAGCGGATCTGTCTGCACTCCGAAATGCCATCCTTGGCATGAGTACGTCAGAGAAGGTTGTTGTGCTCAATGCATTTGAGCATGTGCACAGCATGAACCTGAGAAACAAGGCCTCCAAAAGAACCGGAGCCTGGGGCTTCGTGAACGTCAAACCATTCGCGATTTTTGTGGACAGTGAATGCCCTTGGTGGGAGCGGAATTGCCGGAGTGGGAGTGGTAGTGAGCAAGGGATGGAGGTAAGCAGGAGGCTTGCAGCCCTTCTTGCCACGGGGTCTACATTCGCTGGGCATGGACAGTGGGAACGCAGTGGTGATGGTCCTAGAGGGAGAATAATGTAGCGGGAAATGATGGGGAAGTGGGAGCACAGGTGTGGGGGAATTCACACAACTTTACGTACCCTTTTCTATCCTCCTAGGAGACTCAAAATCAAATGTAATGGAGCTCACAGAAATCCCGTACTGTTCTGGATCTGATGGGAGCGGTGAACGCCCCATCGGTAGGTTACCAATGGACACACAACCTAGCAAGTCAAGATAGTCAGCAAGACTGCCAAGCCCGATGAGCTGGTCGTAGGGCATCCACGTAATATCACCAGTAGTCCATTTAACTTCAAATACGGCATGATCTTTAGCGCCATGATGCGATAGAATCCGTTCAATTTTCCACTGAGGTTCTGCTTCCGGAGTCTCTTGTATTTGAGTATCAAGACGTCCTGGAAATCTGCGATCATCATTAGGAACATGAATCCGAAGCAAGGAGGAGTGGAATACTGGATGTACTCCTCTCTGGATGAAGCTCGAAGGCAGCTCTACACGGAATGAGTGATTTCCGAAGTCCCTTGAAATTTTGTAGGGCCTGATATACTTCGGAATTAATTTGCGAGCTAGACCTTTAGCAAACTTCAAATTCTGGGTGGATACATATACCAGATCACCTTCGTGGAAAGGTTCGAAACGTCGTTTCCGATTTGCGATATGAGTTTGCTTCACCCGAGTTTCAAGAATCGCATCGTGAGCTGACATGATAGCTAAACGCCGCAATCGAGCAAATGTTCGGACAGAGGGATACTCATTCTTTGTATTCGAGTTCCATATCATGGATCGGGGTATGTGTCCAGTATTGAGCATGAACGGGGCATATCCTGTTGTCTCAGACCTGGCGCAGTTCATCGCGAACTCAATAGCTGGCAGTTTTGACACCCAATCCTTCTGAGTGGAGTCAACGCATTGCCATAACATCTGGGTAATGGTACGATTAGCCCATTCCGTAGAGCCATCACTCTGAGGGTGATACGCACTGGACATATTCAACTGAGTACCCGTAAGCTCATGTAGCCTCTTCCAAAAGACGCTAGTGAACAGTGAGTCACGATCACTTATAATCCGTCGTGGCATTCCGTGGTGCTTGTAGACATGCTCAAACATCAGTTCAGCCACTTGGTGGGCAGTGTAGGTTGTACGGCAGGGAACAAGATGTACCATTGAGGTAAATAGGTCAATAATAACAGTTATCGAGTCAAATGTACCATCGCGATTTTTAGAATCTGGTAACAGCCCAACAAAGTCAATTCCGATAGCCTCCCAGGGATACGTCGGAACCTTGAGAGGGTGCAGCAAGCCGTAAGGCTTCTGGTTGTTAGGCTTGCTCATCTTACAAGTACGACAAGACTCACAATACGATTTCACATCCGAAACCATATCCTTCCACCACACACTCTGGCGAAGGTAATCCAATGTTTTGCTTGCCCCAAGGTGAGCTAGAATTGAATGAGCTTCCGAAATAATGATTTCTTGAGCTGTACGACCGTTTACGAGGATGCGAGGTATGCAGAGAAGTCTATCGTCATCCTTCTTGAGGTACAAAAGGCCTGTATCCTGGTTCCACTCGAAGTTTGCAAAGTGTTCCGGGTTTTCTACTACTCTTTTGAAGAGAGGATCATCAGAATAGCGATGTTGAATAGCTTTTTCGAAGTCAAGGCCATTGAGCGAGGTAATGGAATTGAGCAACGTTGCCCCAGTCAAGTCTGGGTCAGCGTGGGAAATTTCCGGATCGCGGGAATTTGCTTTGCTGGCACTTTCTGCATTGATTCCCTCTTGCTCTCGAGATCCACTGCCATCCTGATTTCGTTCAGGCTCCTCTTCTGTCCTAGGGCCTCTGTAGACCTTTGCTGAAGGTCCTACAAGTGGTGGATTGGAGCTCTGGGCTGTCCCCATGCTGCTAGGGCTTGGCCTTGCAGGGATCTTGATGGTGAGCTTTTCCTGCTCTTTTCCATTGCTTCCTGACCGCGTTTTTGGTTCGTTAGCTCGTTTAGGACTACTGTGGATCGTAGTGGACGACGATGAGGTCAAATCTTCGGTACTCCCGCCCTCCTGTGCGCATCTAGGGCCGACAACGCGTACATGGCCTTTCATCCTATATGCGAACTCAGAAGACGTTTCTGGATGCCCAGTGTCAGCGTTGGATCGTTTAGGGAGTGCCCTGGAACGGGTTGTACGTGCTGCAAAGGCTTCCAGGCCTGCCAGCAGTGGTATGGTAATTCCGTGACTGTTCAGATGGTCCATACTGACATTATCATCATGATCAGTGTATTCCGAGCGTGCGCGGACAGTACCAGGGGCGTCGTTGGTGTATATGCGTGAGAGAGCATCCGAGAGGACGTTGGATTCACCAGGTATGTATACTATCTCGAAATCGAACGCGCTCATCTTTTCTAACCAATGCGCTTGCCTTCCTGTTAGGTCTTTCTGCTTCATAAGGTGGATCAACCCCTTATGATCCATTATCCAAGTGAAATGAATTCCCTGTAGAATATCCCGATGGCGCAACATCGTCTCAAGACCTGCTAACATCTCCAGTTCGTGAACTGCATAGTTCTGTTGTGCCGAACTAAGCTTCGCTGAGTAGAAGGCTGCAACTTTGGCCTTCTGCCACTCATCTCCTTGTGCGACGTAGCCTGCGATGCTGGCGGAGCTCACGTCGGTGACCATCCAGACGGGTTTGTGCTCAGGTGAGTAGTCTAATG